TCGTAACATTAAGATGACAGGAGAATTACGATGTGGATTAACACAAAAATATACTATTAATATTATAAATGTGAAAGTTTGTAAGTTTGTTATTAAATCACGCAAAAACTACTGAATGATTGAAATTCAATTTGACCACGTATATAGTTCATGACCTGTTTGAGACATAGGATACTTTTTAAGGTTCCTGTGTGTGGGGTTAAAACCAAAGTTAACGCGGACAGAGACGAAGATGACCGCTGGTTTCAAATAAAAAATAAAATAAAACGACCATCCTGCTTCTGTTTTTCATAGACATAGTCGTAGTATTTATTACTTCATCTTGGTTACATTCAGTTTTTAAATAATAATATTATTTATTTGTTTCGTTCACACAGTGTTATATACAGTTGACAATAGTAATAATAATTAGATTTAGAGTCACATTGTGGGAAGCTGGCATCCGTGCTAGGCAAGAAGACATGTATTACCGACTACTAGGCTTCCCTCCCATAACATTATAAAGGCGAAAGTTTGAGAGGGTGTATGTTTCTTACTTCTTCACGTCTAAACGGCTGAAACGATTTTAATAAAATTTCGTATGGAGTTAGCTGACACCCTGACTTAACACATAGGCTACGTTTTACTGCGGGAAAATATACCTAATAAACCGCGGGTATCAACGCGGGGCACAGCTAGTATAAGATAAGTAGCGCAGGAGAGCATAGAATCTTAACTCATTGGAACTTAATTATGAGCAAAATGGCAATAATTACGATAGGTATGCAGTTAATACAATTTAACATAAAGTAATAGAAGCCTAAATGAGTGAATTGTGTGTGTGTGTATGTGTATGTATTAGTGTGTGTGCGGGTGTAAGTGTGTAGTGTAAAGGATTTGCCACACTGAATGCGTTCTGCGGTCTGCGGTCAGGTCAAAGTGAACGTATGAACAATATTGTCGGTCTCTATATATTTTGTATAGATATGCGATCCGACCGTGCGAGCATGATCAAGAACGCGGGGGAAAGCAGGGACGCGTACGGGCAGGTAGGCGGGCTGCGGGTCGAAGACAATTGTCAATCCCATACATTTTTTATACGATGACGAAGTTAGATATCTTACCGAATACAACTTGGCTACGGGCTCTGATCACTACTGATTCACGCAGACTAATGCTGCTGTTTGCCATGCCCGCATCGCTGACAGGTTACCCTGCCCGAACCGCTGACGGATTGCCCTGACCGACAATATTGTACATACATAATGCGGGCAGCGTTCACTTTGACCTGACCGCAGACCGCAGAACGCATCCAGTGTGGCAAATCCTTAAGTATGGAAGTTTATGATAATTGTGTGACAATGTGTCTATGAGTAACTTTAGTTAGAATGTGTTTGTGCATTTGTAAGTATCAATGTTCAAGGAATGCTATTCAACAAGTTTTCAGTTTCATCGTAATCTAAACACGAAAGCAATTTCGTCAAGGTTTTTTTATATTCCTTTTTGTTAAGTAAATAGACAGATAGATAAAACAGATTTTAATTTGTTGTAGAGTATTGCACTTATAAAACCAAAGAATCTATTAGCAAAACTACTCCTACAAACATGTACGGGACAGACAGAATATTTGATAATCTTCTATATGTATATATGAAATCAATTGCTGCTCGTTATTCTCGCTAAAACTCGAGAACGGCTGAACGGATTTATCTTATCTTGGTCTTGAAATGTTCGTAGAGGTCTAGGGAAGGTTTAAAAGGTGAGAAAATATGGAAAAATTTGCAAGAAAGATAGTAAAAACGTCAATTTAATTTTCCCATATAAACTGTTCTATCTTCTTTCCTGTCAAACATTTGACGTTCGTCCCTTTTGGTACGGTAGACTCGGGTCCGTCATTTCTTCCAAATAATTTAAACCCATACGAAGTACGCGGGGTCAACTAGTATTAAATGAATTAATGTTTAAAAATGTAATTAATCTATTTCCTTAGAGCTATACCCGGATGTTTTTATTTTACATACTTAATAATAGGCAATTACGTCCATGCGTGCTCCATCCTAACTTCTGTTAAGCATTCCACTGGGTATTATCAGAGACAAATGCACTAATCAGTTAAGGGAGGTTTTTGCGGATTTCCACTCGAATTTGAGCACCCGTTGCTATTTCTTGTGTACTTACATCCGATAAGTACCTATATTATGTTACTGTTGACCGTCCACTTAACGAATGTGTAACTAAATCTTCCTCTTGCTGTCTATAAATAGATTCCTGAAGGTATGCATTACATAGTATCATTACAACGTGTTGTTTGTCACAAATTCTGATGAATTTTGCCATTGCAATGGATACAGTCGACAAGAAGAACATAATGCTATCTTTTGTTGGGAAAACAATAGTTGAAGATACTTTTTCTTAATTCATTTATTTAATAACTAACGGCCCGCCCTCGCTTCGCTTCGGTGTAGAGCTGAAGTGTAGACTACAGTTTTTGTTCTCAGGATTGTATTATACATAATGTCATTCATCTATGATTCTTCTTATACCTGCATGCAAAGTCTCAACCCGATCGGTTTAAAATTGACAAAGTTTCATACAAATTTTCATTCCCTATTTTATCCTCTTGGGGGTAGAATTCATCAAAATCCTTTCTTAGCGGATGCCTACGTCATAACATCTACCTGTATGCCAAATTTCAGCACGATCGGTCCAGTGGTTTGGGATGTGCGTTGATAGATCACTATGTCAGTCAGTCACCTTTGAGTTTTATATATATATATATATATATATATATATATATATATATATATATATATATATATATATATATAGTGTTGTATACATTAAACAATATCATTACAGGACAAAACCTTAAAGATTTATCTGTGCTGCAGAGTCTCTCCACAGCCAGTTACGCTGAACAGCCTGCCTGGTTTTGTAACTAATACATTTTTAACATTTTTTACTTTGGATAGCCTCTGGTAGTTTATTGCTGAAGTTTTGATACCATAAATACTGTTGTACTTTGTAATAAATAACTTAGTATTATTTAAATTCCTGAGATTTAATGGTATTTGATAATGTAATAACAATTTGTCTGGGTCAGGCAGCTCTTTAAGAATGAAATACTTAATTTTATCAACAATTTCATTTTCAACAGCTAAAACAGACGATGGAAGTCTGAAGAATTGTAGGTGATTTCCCATGGTTATCTCTTTAATAATAATAAAAATGTCAAGTTTAGTTAAACTTGCGCACAGAAGCTTTCGTACAACATGGTACCTATATATAGTACTCTATAACTATTCTTTATAGGTAGGACCTATAGTCCTTCCCTTGTTTTAAAAAAGGCCAAAACTTATCCCTAAGGACACATCCAATACGAATAACACTGTAACAATATTTTAATTAATTAATATAAATTAATATTATAATTTTTTTCTAGTTAAATTTTCTTTAATTTAAACAACAAGCAGTTACACGCTTAAAAAATAAAAATTATACCTATAGTTGCTATTTCTTCTTTGTGGGCTACCTACAATGCGAAGAGATGGCGCTGTCTTGCAGCTTAAGAATGGCTAGAGGGATTTTCGTCGTGCCGTCAGGGCCGTCAGGGCCGCGGTAGCATAATTGGTCAGGGCATTCGCCCGGATAGCGAAGGGTGTGGGTTTGAGTCCCGTCTGCTGCCTGGTCCGCGTGGATTTTTTTCTAGTTAAATTTTCTTTAGATTTAAACATCAAGCAGTTACATGCTTAAAATATAAAAATTATAATGTAACAATACTTAAGTGAGTACACGTTTACACAAATTCATCACTATACTTTAATAAATGAATTCAGTTATTATTAATTCAACCATTATTAATAAACCAATCAAGTCCGATTTCAACTCGCGTGGAGAGGGTTCCGTGCGCTGTATAAAAAATCTACAAGCAAAGAGCTAAACTTCATTTATTTCAAATTTTAAGACGCATTATCTATTTTCTAATATTAATATTTTGTAAACTATTTTTAAATGTTTTCATTGACCCCTTTTATATGATATGTAACACGGTACAGTTAGCTAAATATTAATTTTCTTATTCACCCTAAAATTTCAATCAAATTGAATTCCAAATATGGGGGTCCATATTCCGAATTCATTTGTTTACTTCATTCTTCCGTGTTTTGGACACATATTTTCTGCTATAACAATGCATTAATATACATAATATTGTTTATAATATGTCAGTAAAGACAACTGCTCAGCTTACGCGTCAACTGTTCAAACCTAAAAAGCGAACTCAAATTTACGATTTTGTGCCTTTCAATCGACTTGCCGTTACATTGGTATGTTTATATGTGTATAAAAAAAGTTTCCAATAAAGGAAATTTATGAAAATTTGATAAAGATTTCATGTGATTTGATTACATTCTCTTGGATTCTTAACAAATTTCCTTTTGCGACATTGACATAATGCTCATAACGAAAAATATAAAAAGCAAGTTATCTCTTATCTATTAGACGAGTCCGTGGTGCTGTTTCAGCGGCTAAACCGTAAGAGATAGATAAAGAGAATGTTTAAGTTATAAGTTGAGAATAGTCTGATAAGACTACAAACCGGATGTGAGTAACATAGCACTTCCGGTTTTCGAGAAATCACGTGATTTCTATTTCAAACGAAACCACACAAAATCTCCGAAGTTCTCAATTAATTAAATACATTTTTTTTTTGGTGAACATTTGGTTCACTGGTTTGCTAGTTTGAATATAAGCCTTAAATAACTTGCATTGATTTTGACCTTATTTTTCGAAGAAATGGCTCCCAAATCATAGCACTTGATCTTACGGCCACTATAAGAAGTAATGCATAGATAAATAAATTGGTCTCACTGCGGTCGGCTATATACCGCCAGCGTGCGTACTTGTCAAATACGGCAACAAATACTACGCGTAGTATTTGAGCACAATACGCAATGATGAGTTGCCGCTTTCACGGAGCTGTTATTTTTAGACCAATCATTTATCTAAGAAGTCATGTTTACCTGCTATTGGTTGAATTGACGGAGGTATTGGAGCGACTGCGGCGGTTGCAGATGGAGTCACCGCAGTTGACGACGCCGCCCTTGGTGGTAATGGAGAACGTACGCAGCCGGTACAGGTCGTCCGACAGCCGTGGGTTGTACGGTTTCTCGGGAAGCGAGCACACGCGCGGTCTGGAGTGCTCCACGACTGGTGACAAAACATTATGGAAGTTTAATAAAACACGCTAAAGCTATAATTTTTATTATTTTAAAGCATGTAACTGCTTGATGTTTAAATCTAAAGAAAATGTAACTAAAAAAAAATTCACGCGGACCAGGCAGCAGATGGGACTAGAACCCGCACCTTTCGCAATCCGGGCTAATGCACTGACCAATTATGCTACCGCGGCCCTCACGGACCGCGTCGAAATTCTTCTAGCCATTCTTAAGCTGCAAGGCAGCGCCATCTCTTCGCATTATAGGTAACCCACAATGTCAAATGAATACTTTTACAAGTATTAAAGATTAGAAAGAAGAAATACCAATCATAGTTATAATTTTTACGCTAAAAATAGTTAAAAATGAGTCTTTTTACCCGACTGCGCAATGCAAGAGCGCGAAGCGCGACGCGCAGACAGGGTATAGTGTTTAACAGTCTATATATGTATGTATGTTCCTTTGTGGCACACTCACTAGAGACCAAACGCGTGGACCGATTTTGATGATTCATACGTCAATTGATTCGTCTTAATCATGGGAGTGCTACTAAAGATATGGTAGTAATCAAAATTAAACATGGGGACAAATAGGCGCCTTATTGTGACGAAGTAAAAAAAATAAGTTGACGAAATATGTCGAGTGTGGTATCATTGTCTAGATAATCGAAAATCATGGTTAGGTTCCTCACACCATTTTTCATTTTATATGACTTTTTAGGATCTACAACGATTTAAATTTGTATATTAACCACTTGTGCTTTTAATTTCAATCTTACGTTTGTACGGATGTATTATACTCTTTCACTCAAAAAATACTGAATGGATTATAATGAAACTAAACAATAATATAGCTTCGTACTTAATAATAACATATACATAATAATTTATGTAGTTATTGAGTGAAAAATCTCCCTTTTGCGAGTAATTTTGGCCTGCACTGCAAAAACAATAAAAATTAAATGAATATATTGTATAATGGAAATGTATCTCTTAAATAGTTGTTAACAAAAGTCCGCGACAGCATATAATCTATTTTTTATGTGTAAAAAGTGTGACATAAAAAAGGTAAATTTAAAAAATCAATAAACCCGACTGTTTAATATTACTTTTAATAAAAACTGAAAAGAAAACAACAAATCCAGTAGTCTATAATTCTGTTAAGTAAGGAACAAAGCTACTTTAACAGACCGGACCCATTAGATATTCAAGATTGGATTTTTTTTTTCAATAATGGGTCTTGACTGTTAAAGTAGCTTTGTTCCTTACTTAACACAATTATAGACTACTGGACTTGTTGTTTTCTTTTCAGTTTTTATTTTTATTACTGTTTTGACGTTTCTCATCCATTTCAGGTTGCGTCGTCAGAATTAATTCTGTATTTTTGTATGTGTAAAAACTTAAGAAACAAATATTTTGGAAGTTCATACTATGATGGACTTTGGACAAAATCACTACCAACCTACATTGTTTAGACTCATACAATTAAATTGAAGCAATAAATGACTTGCATGGTCTAAACAGTTGTTCCGTAGCGTAACAGATTTTTTAGTAAGACAACACATATTGGAAGATGTTATTTTTACTTTCTTAATTTATGTATGGGGTAGGTGACAAATCATATTTTCGTTTTGAGCCTACCACTGTGCCTTGTGTGTTGGTACGAACTTTACGGCCGACGCCAGCACCAATGAGCAAGTAGCTTACTTCGAGTCCCCGACGTGTGAGCAGCTATCAATCACCACTCAAATAATTTTCCGTTACATCAAGTGAGATTACCATTTCTCTGGAAGATATCGCGAACCTTCTGACCTTGGACTTCTATGTGCGATATATTGCCGGCAATAGTTTCCCAAGAGCGTTGACGAACCCCGTTATGAAGCCTAGCCCTCGGTACCCGTGGCGGTGTAAGGGGCGTTTGCGGTAAGTCGCCGAACCCCGTTTTATCATACAATCTATACTTATAATAAATCTGTAGAGATGTCAATTCTGTACATGAAATATATTTTTAAAATAACTATCAGGGGGTGATTAGTGATCGATACTGATGCCAAAAATGAAATCAGTAAAATTTTTGTCTGTCTGTCTGTCTGTCTGTCTGTCTGTGTGTATGTTCCTTATAGAAACAAAAACTACTCGACAGATTTTAACGAAACTTGGTACAATTATTCCTCATACTCCTGGGCAGGTTATAGTATACTTTTCATCACGCTATAATCAATAGGAACAGAGTAGTGAAGGGAAATGTTGGGAAAACGGGAGAAGTTACTCCATTTTTTAAGCTTCCGTCGCGTGTGCAGCCTTAATGGTTAAAGTTACATAGAAATCATGTATGACGGAAATATTCTACATAAAATTGTCTAGAAAATATCCCGCAACAGCATATGTCTATCTTTTATGGTTGACTCACAATAACACGTGTAACTCCCGATAGCTTAGCAGTTCGGAGCATTCTGATCATATTTGTTTACTCTTACGTTTATAATACTCTGACTCATCCCTAATTAAAAAAAGTTAACATTATTACATATTCAATAAAAAAAAACTTAGAAATCGGTATAGAAACACCAAACTTATACATGAAATAAGCCATCGCGCCGTCGCACGTGAATACTGAATCATGCTATAAGGATTATTTTTGTGTAACGGTTGCCGCGCTCGACACGGGTCGCGGCGCACAGTGGTCCGGATTTTGAATATAGTGGTCTTAGGACCCAAGGTTAATATTTCGCGCTGAAAAAATTCATGCGGACAGATAAGTGAACGCTTATCAACTTTTGTTCTAGCAGTTTTCATGTGATCGTATATTTTCGCGAAAAAAAAATATTTAAGAAAAAAATGTATGGAGCAAAACTGAAATATTTTCTTTTCTCGAAATGTTTAAAAGTGTTAGCAATGGAACCATTTGTAAATTATTGTATTACATATATTTATTAATTTCACCATCAAATCTTTTGCATGCACTTGCAGCCTTGGCCGAAATAGGCATCAGAAGTTTCATTTTTTTAATTCTAACTATTTGTGTCATTTAAAGGTTTTTAATCGTTTATAGTCACATAATTTTCGTATATTTTCAATATTATAAACTTTAAATTGCATTATTTCCTAAATTAAAATGATTTGGAAAAATAGATACAAATTGTTTTCATATTTTACTTCTTAGTGGTTATGGCTGTTACCCAAAGCGCAGTTAGTGACCGAATGACGTATTGGCGGCTAATTTCCCCCTCCCATTGCCTAATATTGCTATCTCTTTCATTTTCTACTAATGCTATCTCTTTCTCTATTGCTCTCTTTTTCTCGTTAAGACCCTTGCTAGTTGCGTGCTTGTAAATAAAATAAAACAGATGGGAAGTCCGGCTAGAGCGTCAATAGACATTCAAATCTTGAAGAGTCAACATACCTGGAAATTTTAACCTGAAGAAAACATAATCATGGCTGGATTTGGTACTTACCTGGACATTTACGTGTTTCTACGAAAAGGGGACCTCAAGGACTACAAAGGACTGCATCAAGCAATTTTGGACTGCATTTTGCTTGATATTTCGCAAGAAGATTCTGAAAAAATTTTGAATTTTGCAAGATCTCTCACTGTCATCTTAAATCGTAGATGGACCGAAGCACACAGGGTGCAAAAAACATTCATGAAAAAGCATACGAGCTGGTTAGAAACAAGAATTAAGTGGCCTGAATGCGAATCCGTGAATCTCTTCGAAATTTTTGAAGAGGCCGAAAATTTCGATCATCGTTCCACAGAAGAAGAAGGCGACTATTGATATGAGCACTTGTACAGACATCGTATCAAGAAAGCCATTTGAAGACCTAGGAAACAAGCAGAAGAAAAGGCGATCGGGTAGATTACTTGACTATCCGGAAGAGGAACTGACTTTTGCTTTTATCATCAAACTAAAGTCTAATGGAAAAGAAGTTCTTGCTCGCATCATCGATCATCTTATGAAGAAGCCTGAAAAGGTTGGAGTTGTCGAATCATTTTTATTTATGAACGAAAAGAAAGAGACTATGCAGGAAGATCAAGTTTTGGCCCTAACTACTTCATTGGATCTTTCAAAGTGGAAGTACCGCACTTTATGGTCTGCATTGTCACAACAGTTGAAGCTTCCGTCTTACCACAAGTTGTTAGAAGCTAAGAAAAGGTGTTATCCAGATGCCAGAGATATAATAATATCAAAAGATGGAGCGAAGGTGAAACTACAAGCACTTTTAGATGTCACAACGCGAAGGATTTTGCAAGTGTTGGGTGATGATTTAAATATTTCCAGTGGAAGCTTGAAGCTGACCAGTAAATGGGGATTTGATGGTTCTTCAGCACAGAGCAACTACAAGCAAAGAAGTGAAATGGCAGAATTCGACGACTCCTTTGTGTTCATGACCAGCCTCGTTCCCCTGAAGCTAGAGGCCGAAAATATTGTTATTTGGGATAATCCAAAGCCATCTTCAACGTTTTATTGCAGACCTATTAAATTTCAGTTTGCGAAGGAAACAACTGACTTTGTTAAGCAAGAACAAGCGGCAATGGAGGAAGAAATACAAAATTTGACTGTTTCAAGTTGCGGAAACTTGGAAGTTACTCATGAGCTACACATGACAATGATTGATGGGAAAGTGACGACAATAATTACAAATACTCCCTCTGTAGCTACTTGCAATATTTGTCTTGCAAAACCAAGCGAAATGAATAATCTTTCTCAAATGTTTTCAAGACCTGTGCGGGAAGATGTATATCAATATGGATTGTCAACACTCCATATGTGGATTCGAAGCATGGAGTGTCTTTTACACATTTCGTATAATTTAGATTTTGAAATGTGGAGTGCAAGAGGCGAAAACAAGAACCTTAAGAAGTTTCGAAAGAACATGGTGCAATCGGAGTTCAAACAACAGATGGGACTTTTGATTGATCTTGTGAAGCAGGGCTTTGGAACTACAAATGATGGGAACACGGCCAGAAGATTTTTCCGAGAATACGAAAAGA